GTCTCTGTGTGGTGAGTCTGTGGGTCTCTGTGTGGTGAGTCTATGGGTCTCTATGAGTGAGTCTGCGGGTCATCGGCGTGCTTCAGAGCCCACTAAATAACGCACAGAGGGAGGCCTCCAGTAACAGTGCCAACATAGAGCGTTTATTGACGAAGACAAAAAGTTCATTCCATATGCGAATGCAAAGCGACAACCATTGACAACATCGGCGCTGACGCCTCAATTCATTATAGAAGGCGGCCGACTTCAAATAGTGAGACTCAAGGGGCCTGAGAGCCGGGACCCCGAGTCTCTAGACCCCGAGTCTCTAGACCCCGAGTCTCTAGACCCCGAGTCTCTAGACCCCGAGTCTCTAGACCCCGAGTCTCCAGACCCCGAGTCTCAAGACCCCGAGTGTCTAGACCCCGAGTCTCTACACCCCGAGTCTCTAGACCCCGAGTCTCTACACCCCGAGTCTCTACACCCCGAGTCTCTACACCCCGAGTCTCTACACCCCGAGTCTCTACACCCCGAGTCTCTAGACCCCGAGTCTCTACACCCCAAGTCTCTAGACCCCGAGTCTCTAGACCCCGAGTCTCTACACCCCGAGTCTCTAGACCCCGAGTCTCTACATCCCGAGTCTCTGAACCCCGAGTCTCTACACCCCGAGTCTCTAGACCCCGAGTCTCTACACCCCGAGTCTCTAGACCCCGAGTCTCTACACCCCGAGTCTCTAGACCCCGAGTCTCTAGACCCCGAGTCTCTACACCCCGAGTCTCTACACCCCGAGTCTCAACACCCCGAGTCTCTACACCCCGAGTCTCTAGACCCCGAGTCTCTACACCCCGAGTCTCTACACCCCGAGTCTCTAGACCCCGAGTCTCTACACCCCGAGTCTCTACACCCCGAGTCTCTAGACCCCGAGTCTCTACACCCCGAGTCTCTACACCGCGAGTCTCTAGACCCCGAGTCTCTAGACCCCGAGTCTCTACACCCCGAGTCTCTAGACCCCGAGTCTCTAGACCCCGAGTCTCTAGACCCCGAGTCTCTAGACCCCGAGTCTCTAGACCCCGAGTCTCTACACCCCGAGTCTCTACACCCCGAGTCTCTACACCCCGAGTCTCTAGACCCCGAGCCTCTAGACCCCGAGTCTCTAGACCCCGAGTCTCTAGACCCCGAGTCTCTACACCCCGAGTCTCTACACCCCGAGTCTCTAGACCCCGAGTCTCTACACCCCGAGTCTCTACACCCCAAGTCTCTAGACCCCGAGTGTCTAGACCCCGAGTCTCTACACCCCGAGTCTCTAGACCCCGAGTCTCTAGACCCCGAGTGTCTAGACCCCGAGTCTCTACACCCCGAGTCTCTACACCCCGAGTCTCCAGACCCCGAGTCTCTAGACCCCGAGTCTCTACACCCCGAGTCTCTACACCCCGAGTCTCTACACCCCGAGTCTCTACACCCCGAGTCTCTAGACCCCGAGTGTCTACACCCCGAGTCTCTAGACCCCGAGTCTCTACACCCCGAGTCTCTACACTCCGAGTCTCTACACCCCGAGTCTCTAGACCCCGAGTCTCTACACCCCGAGTCTCTACACCCCGAGTCTCTACACCCCGAGTGTCTACACCCCGAGTCTCTAGACCCCGAGTCTCTAGACCCCGAGTCTCTACACCCCGAGTCTCCAGACCCCGAGTCTCTACACCCCGAGTCTCTAGACCCCGAGTCTCCAGACCCCGAGTCTCTACACCCCGAGTCTCTAGACCCCGAGTCTCTACACCCCGAGTCTCTACACCCCGAGTCTCTAGACCCCGAGTCTCTAGACCCCGAGTCTCTACACCCCGAGTCTCTACACCCCGAGTCTCTACACCCCGAGTCTCTAGACCCCGAGTCTCTAGACCCCGAGTCTCTACACCCCGAGTCTCTACACCCCGAGTCTCCAGACCCCGAGTCTCTACACCCCGAGTCTCTAGACCCCGAGTCTCTACACCCCGAGTCTCTACACCCCGAGTCTCTACACCCCGAGTCTCTACACCCCGAGTCTCTACACCCCGAGTCTCTACACCCCGAGTCTCTACACCCCGAGTCTCTACACCCCGAGTCTCTAGACCCCGAGTCTCTAGACCCCGAGTCTCTAGACCCCGAGTCTCTAGACCCCGAGTCTCTAGACCCCGAGTCTCTACACCCCGAGTCTCTACACCCCGAGTCTCTACACCCCGAGTCTCTACACCCCGAGTCTCTACACTCCGAGTGTCTAGACCCCGAGTGTCGAGACCCCGAGTCTCTAGACCCCGAGTCTCTAGACCCCGAGTCTCTAGACCCCGAGTCTCTACACCCCGAGTCTCTAGACCCCGAGTCTCTAGACCCCGAGTCTCTACACCCCGTGTCTCTAGACCCCGAGTCTCTACACCCCGAGTCTCTACACCCCGAGTCTCTACACCCCGAGTCTCTAGACCCCGAGTCTCTACACCCCGAGTCTCTACACCCCGAGTCTCTAGACCCCTAGTCTCTAGACCCCGAGTCTCTAGACCCCGAGTCTCTACACCCCGAGTCTCTACACCCCGAGTCTCTACACCCCGAGTCTCTACACCCCGAGTCTCTACACCCCGAGTCTCTAGACCCCGAGTCTCTAGACCCCGAGTCTCTACACCCCGAGTCTCTACACCCCGAGTCTCTAGACCCCGAGTCTCTACACCCCGAGTCTCTACACCCCGAGTCTCTAGACCCCGAGTCTCTACACCCCGAGTCTCTACACCCCGAGTCTCTAGACCCCTAGTCTCTAGACCCCGAGTCTCTACACCCCGAGTCTCTACACCCCGAGTCTCTACACCCCGAGTCTCTACACCCCGAGTCTCTAGACCCCGAGTCTCTAGACCCCGAGTCTCTAGACCCCGAGTCTCTACACCCCGAGTCTCTAGACCCCGAGTCTCTACACCCCGAGTCTCTAGACCCCGAGTCTCTAGACCCCGAGTCTCTAGACCCCGAGTCTCTAGACCCCGAGTCTCTAGACCCCGAGTCTCTAGACCCCGAGTCTCTAGACCCCGAGTCTCTAGACCCCGAGTCTCTAGACCCCGAGTCTCTAGACCCCGAGTCTCTAGACCCCGAGTCTCTAGACCCCGAGTCTCTAGACCCCGAGTCTCTAGACCCCGAGTCTCTAGACCCCGAGTCTCTAGACCCCGAGTCTCTAGACCCCGAGTCTCTACACCCCGAGTCTCTACACCCCGAGTCTCTACACCCCGAGTCTCTGAACCCCGAGTCTCTACACCCCGAGTCTCTACACCCCGAGTCTCTAGACCCCGAGTCTCTACACCCCGAGTCTCTACACCCCGAGTCTCTACACCCCGAGTCTCTAGACCCCGAGTCTCTACACCCCGAGTCTCTAGACCCCGAGTCTCTAGACCCCGAGTCTCTACACCCCGAGTCTCTACACCCCGAGTCTCTAGACCCCGAGTCTCTAGACCCCGAGTCTCTAGACCCCGAGTGTCTAGACCCCGAGTCTCTACACCCCGAGTCTCTAGACCCCGAGTCTCTAGACCCCGAGTCTCTACACCCCGAGTCTCTACACCCCGAGTCTCTACACCCCGAGTCTCTAGACCCCGAGTCTCTAGACCCCGAGTCTCTACACCCCGAGTCTCTACACCCCGAGTCTCTACACCCCGAGTCTCTAGACCCCGAGTCTCTACACCCCGAGTCTCTACACCCTGAGTCTCTAGACCCCGAGTCTCTAGACCCCGAGTCTCTAGACCCCGAGTCTCTACACCCCGAGTCTCTACACCCCGAGTCTCTACACCCCAAGTCTCTACACCCCGAGTCTCTAGACCCCGAGTCTCTAGACCCCGAGTCTCTACACCCCGAGTCTCTACACCCCGAGTCTCTACACACCCTGGGGAAACCCACGACCGTCTGGACATCTTCCACCCCATCTCCATTTCATTTTCCCGTCACTTCCCCTGCCGCCCGGAGGAGTTGCGATGCCTCTCGGATAAATTAAAAAAGCGGGGGGAGGGGGGGGGGGCGGAGAGGGGGGGGGGGGGCGGAGAGGGGGGGGGCGGAGAGGGGGGGGGGGCGGAGAGAGGGGGGGTCTATAGATACTCTGTGGTTCTATTCGCTAAAGTCACCACGTAGGTAAAAAAATAAAACAACAAAAATCACGACGTTTCGGGCCCACAACACAAGCGGCCTTCATCACGTGAAGGGGACCGTACTCCAACGCTGTCCTCTGGACAGCACGGTCCCCTTCACCTGATGGAAGGCCGCTTGTGTTGTGGGCCCGAAACGTCGTGATTTTTTTTGCCGTTTTATTTTTTTTTAACCTCCGTGGTTGACTTTACCGAATAGAACCACAGAGTCATGGATCCTTGCAGTCACAACAGCTTCACATCTCGAATTCGGGGTCTATAGACCCCGAGGCCCGGTCCCCCGAGTCTCCTCTAGACCCCCCCCCCCCCCGAGTCTCCGCTAGTTCACGATTAACAAATTCATCGGCGCCTTCCCCAAACTCCCTCCGGCTGTGGAGTCTGTAGCCTAGGGGCAGGCCCAGTGGCAGCTGTCCCCGCGCAGCTGTGGCGATTAATTTCATTGTAATAATTATGAACTTGCACGTTTAAAATGTCTGCGATTGTGGGACGACACTGCCACACGGCACGCGGCGACTGGGGCTGTGGTGGTGGTGGTGGTGGTTGTGGTGGTGCCGATGGTGGTGGTTGTGGTGGTGGTAAGTAGTGGTTAGTAGTGGTAGCAGTGGTGGCAGTGGTGGCAGTGACGATGGTGGTGCTGGTGGCTGTGATTGTGGTGGTGCTGGTAGTGGTGCTGGTGGCTGTGGCGGTGGTTGTTGTGGTGCTGGTGCTGGTGATTGTGGTTGTGCCGATGGTTGTGGTGGTGGTAGTGTTAGTAGTGGTGGTGGTAGCAGTGGTGGTGATGGCTGCGGTGGTTGTGGTGCTGGTGGTTGTGGTGCTGGTGATTGTGGTGCTGGTGGTTGTGGCGGTGGTTGTGGTGGTGGTGGTGCTGGTGGTTGTGGCGGTGGTTGT